CTGCTAGGTTTTACGGGGGATGCCCTGGGAGATTATGGCCTTAAGGACGCCCAATTTAGGGTAGTCCAATGGCTTGTGGACATTGATTTGCAATATCTATGAGCCAGAGCTAACAAAACTTTCTCCCCTCTGATCTTCAGCCAATTTAATAATTACGGACTGAGGATGGCTTCCTATTTTTACACTCTAACCATTCCCAAGTATAGAAGAGCTTTCTTCCTAGCTCACTTTAATGTCTTGCCCTCAGCACTACTGGATGGGCGATTTAAGAGGCTCCCGATTAACGAGCGGCTATGCCCCTGTGACAGAGCTGAGGTTGAAACTGTGGACCATGTCCTTTTATATTGCCCTATGTATAATGCAGGCAGATCTAAGTTACTGTCTCTTCTTGAAACAGACCCTTCTAGACCCAATGTTAGTAATTTGTTCTTATATTGTCTAGGGGATGGCTCCTCATACATCACTGCTCAGGTTTCCATTTTTTTTTAAGAGCTGTAACCATCAGAGGAGAACACTGTAATTCCCCTTAGCCAAGTGGTGATCAATTGTTCATGATTAATTTTCCCATGTTCTTCTTTTGTTGTACTTGTGTTTTGGTCTGTGACCGCAAATAAAGTATTATTATTATCCCTGTACTGCTAAGATAAGTTGTTTTGTATAGACTTCCCTGGTTGCAAGTCAATGAATCAATCCAGATATTGTCCTTGGCCTGAAGTATGGACTAGGAACTCATACAGCTGCAATATGACATGCTGTTTCTTTTTTCATCTGTTGTTCATCTTTCTCCCTGGAAGCTAGATAAATAGGATGATAATATTGTCCCACAAGTAGGCTACAGTGGAGTTTAAGTATATGTGGGTGGGGTGGTCTTTCATGTTGAAGGAAATGTTTATTAGTTAGATTCTCTGGGCTCTAGCATATTACTTAAAAATGACTGCAGAAATAGATTGCTTCAATGAAAGTCCCACTCACAACCACAGAAGACTGATTTTGGGAGATGGGTGTGTTTATATATTCGAATAAGTAATATGCCCCCTATGATGCCACAACAGTGATAATAATTCTATGTCCCTCTAATAAGGAAGACTTCTTTTATTAACTATTCTCTGCATCCTTTTTATAATTATGATTAAGTGGTAAGCTATTGTGAATGTGCATGCAACATAAAAAATCATACCTGGGTTTCTCTAGCAGCTTTAAACTGTTGTTGATCTCTTCATTTACTATGGTTTGTTTATTGAATATTTGCAGAAGATTCTCTGAATGAGATCACATTTACTTTCCAAGTTGAATACACCAACTCGGAAAAAAAATGCTAGCAATACATTTTTTTTAAGTGTTGCAAAAGGCTGTTGTGATGACCCAGAGTGTAACACAAATGTAACAAATGTAACAAAATCCAAAACGTAAATAAATGTCCTTTAATGCCTCCAACTTGGCCCCACTGTTCAATAATACTCAGTTGGAGATAAAACATACTCAAAAATAGTCTTCAAAAGAAAACTATACAGTCTGAATTTAATGAGCAGATAGAGGTGAAATAAAAAAACCAAACAAACTACAATGATGAAATTTCCACAATGGAGCAGGAGAAGTATTTACTAAATTCAAGGAGATAACAAAGCACAGTCCAAAATACTTCAGACGAAAATAAAACACGCTTTGTTTCCAACGTTTGCCAGTACGCAGGTCCAAACTCTTATTCAGTTCTCACACCTGCAGCCCATGAAGAGGATCAAGGCCCTTTCCTCCTGAGGAGACCATGTCTCTCCCTTATCCTCTCCTCCCTGCGTGCCCTAGGATGGATAGGGGATGGACCTGGGTCCTCCTCTGACTGCTCAACTGGCCTCTGCCCTTCCCCAGCTTCCTCCACAACCTCCGGAGCCACACTTCCACTCCCTGTAGGCTGTTCCTCCTCTCCCTGAGAGTCAGTCTCCACCAGAGGCATGACAGCTGTTTCTTAAAAAGGGGTAAAAATGATTTGGTATATGAACAAGTGTTCTTTGGAGCTACTTTCTTCATGGGCTTGGCATGTAAAAGTTCCAGTGCACTGAATTCGTTCCCACTTGGTTAATTTTTTGATCCACGCAAGTTTGTTCATTGTATTCAAACATGCTTTGTAATTCTAATCTAAAATCTTCTTTACATCAGCCTGCATTCTTTCTCATCACAATTAAAATAACTTGTACCTACTCTTTGGTGGTTTGGAAAGATAATATACAATTAGATCTCAGTTTCAGTGGCTGTTCTGGATCACTGCGGAAAACTTGGGCAATACATAAACACCTGGTATTACAAATAATCAATTGCATGATCTTGTTTTCTGAGATACATTGGGTAGGTGGTTGGGAATGCTTGAATTGCTTTCTATTATATAGAAGTCCCAGATTAAGGTTCTAAAGATCCCAGGAGGAGGAGGAGGAGGTGGTGGCAAAGATCAAAGAAATATGCTCATGTACATAGTAGGTCAAAAAATCCTAGTTTGACAGACTGGCTGTGGCCCTCTTCTTATTTGTCAGCAAACAGCAGGAGGAAGAGTTATGGCATGATGGAAAAGCAGGTGTCTTTCTATTTATAGGGCAAGACAGCCTGGGATTTCTGAATGGAGACTTTGTAGGTGGCCAGTCAGTTGATGGGAGTTCTATTATGTCCTAGAATAACTTGCTAATCACCTTTAACTGAATTTCCTTGGGTAGTTCTGACTTGATATAGAGGCGGACACAAAATGTTTATGAGCCACAACTTCCTGATTGTCCTAAAGATTTAAATATGAGAAAACGTCATGAAATCACACAGAAAGGCTATTTTTTGCCCTTGTTTATAATTTAATTGCAAAAACATCTAGGAAGGTTTGGACTGAATTCCTTGGGCATCTGAAAATAAATTGGATATATTGTTCAATTACATAAAACCCCCATGCAAAAACAATTCCTGTGCAACGATTTTAGAATGTGCTGTGCAGCTTGTATATGAAAATGGCACTTCAAATCATATATATTTGGTTAATATCCCTTTTAAACAACATTTGGCTGGTATTTTAAATAGTCATTTCTTGTGTTTTATGTAATAGTATAATTAAGTTGAATTCATTTTCAAACTATCCCTGTGGAAGGAGTTTTGTTCCGAAATGCATTTCGTATTTTTTACATTGCATAAAATAATGAATAAAAAGAGAACAAAAAACGTTTTGTTTTCCTATGAGGCCTCTCCTTTTCTGAATATTTACTTAATAACTAAGAACACCTTGTTCCTTTTTCAGCATAAATACCGAAACAGCCTGCAGGATCAAATAGACATTACTTTGCTTATTTAAGTGAATTGTTACTGTTCATGCCTATTTTATATTTTAAGAAGCAATACCGTGGTTCTATGCTTCTTTGCTTGTTTTTCACCTAGCTTTTCATGTACTACCAGTAGTTCATGTCCTCATTTTCCTGCTGTGAAGCTTTGACTGACAGGAGCCACATGTGATGCTGCATACAAAAGTCTTGGCTATCTTTGGAATTCTTCCCCATTGTCCTGTTTCCCATTATTTGGGATAATTTTCAACTGCCACAAGTGATCCTGAACCTATTTGGAAACTAAATTACCTTTTGCTGAAAACTGAATGTTGTGAATTACTAAATTATGTCCCTGCCCAACTGATGGAAGGGTGAGTGGGAGGAGTAAAGCAAAGAAGTCAAAAAATTAAACCCAGAACAGATGTGAGTGGACTCCTTATTGCATTTATTTGAAACAGCTGTTCTAATGGTAGTAACCAGTTCTATAAAGTGTACAACATGAATTATAAGAGTTCCATCCCTCTCCCAATTCACCACTTCTGTTACTTTAACAAAATAGTGAGTTTTTTTCACATTAAATAGCACTTGTTGTGTCTATCATCAATCGACACAATGGCCTGCACCAACACACAAATACACATTTATTTGAAATGATCTCTCTGACTGTTAGAGAATAAACAGTGGGGAACATAAGGCCCTGCAGATATTTGGGAACTGCAGTTTCTAGTATCCCTCCCAACCTTTCATGTGGTCTGGAGATGCTAGAAGTTGCATTTAGTTCTAGAGTCACAAGTTCTCTGTGTATGTGAGAAAGAGACAGAGAAAATGTAGAACTGATCTTGGACATAAGGAAAAGATTGAACAAGCTGTTAATGGGGGACTTGAAGAAAAGATTAAATAGATCTGATGAAAAAGAATGTGTATAGAAAGAAGGCCAAAGTAATCCCACCTTGATTTGTTTATTACATGGTGGAACAAATGTGGACAGGTCTTTCAAGATTGATATCAGAAATTACAGGACATCATTCTTAGTATAGTTTTTATTATTAGATTAACAGGCATGACTTCCTCTAAAATATCTTTGAAATTACACATTGGTGAAGATCTTTAGACTTCTATTAAAAATCTCTAGGTAAATTCATGAAAATACCACAGGGTTGAAGCTTTAGGAATGAGTAATAGACACACCTACCATTTTAAGCAAGAACCTTCTCACTTTTCCTAATCCCAGATTCCTCCTTTTCAAATTTCTATACTCTATCAACTCCACCTATATACTGACCTATATTATAGCTAAAGGAACTTGTTTATCGGCATTCTACAACTGCTCAGGGACATTAAATTTAGTTTGCACTAAACTGTTCTTCTTTCTAATCATAACACCAAGTTTTCAGGACTAACACGAACATTTGGGTTAAAATGTTTTAACTGCATATTTTTTGAATTGTAAGTCACTCTGAGTAATTGATTAACATGGGTGGCTGTAGGAATGGAATTGAATACATACATACATACATACATACATACATACATACATACATACATACATACAT